ATGGTTCTGTTAATTACGCATTCTGGTTGTCACTTATAAACAATTCAGACCAATCTGACCTTACAAAGAGAAGTACTGAACTTCATACTCATAAACAATTTATTTCCTCACAATTGGATGCTGTATTGCGTCATCAGCGCTAAAACAGCAGGCTGGAGTCATCAGCTGATTGGAGCTGTATTAGCTTCATAATGAAGTGTTTACTGGTCAGTACTGAGCTTTAACTAAACCTATAGGATGGGGGAGTATGAAGTATAAATTAAGAGTTTATTTGCAAAAACATTTTTTATTATGTTATCATGATTTTATTGTGTTTTATTATGTTAGTTAGGCTGTATTTTTAGTTATTTTTTAACCTAATCAAAATAACCTGACTGCAGTTTGATTGAGATTAACTGGAATGCACAATGATTTTTGAAAATTGTTAAAAGTTATCTGTTTTTGCAAATGAACTCTTCATATATATATATATATATATATATATGAAGAGTTCATTTGCAAAACTAGTACTATTTAAAATTGATTAAAATTATTTTTAGCAAGCCTGCAAGGATATTGGTCATTGACAATAATCGAAATATGACTGACATATAATCATATATAACATATATGTGACATCTACTCATGTATTTTCTTTGTCTCTTCCAGGTTTGACCAATCAAGACACACACTACGTCACACACTTCGACCTTTCCTCAGTTGCTTCATCCTTATTATTGTATATTGCTTCTTTAATGTTGGTTCTGCCAGTGAATTAAAAAAATATATTTCTAAAAGAATTGCAGTTTAACATAAATACTTTGGATTTTGATAATAATAATAATAATAATAATAATGTTGTGGTTGCAATTATTATTTACAACAATTTAGAAAAATAAAATGATTATTAGACTGCTACAATAAAATATAAGAAATATTTGAAATCATGATTATTATTTAAAATATTTAGTTGCAGTCTAGTGATTATTTACAATAAATTAGAATAAATATAATAATAATTAGACTGCAACAATAAGGAATATTTTAAATCATGATTATCATATTAATCGAAATATGACTGACATATAATCATATATAACATATATGTGACATCTACTCATGTATTTTCTTTGTCTCTTCCAGGTTTGACCAATCAAGACACACACTACGTCACACACTTCGACCTTTCCTCAGTTCTGTCCGAGCGTCAGATCCAGGCGGCGGAGCTGAGGATTCGTATTCCCAAAGAAACGCAGCAAACGAACATCACGGTGGAGATCCGACACCAGCAGGACCAGTCCCTGGGTCGACTGTCCGATTCCTCTCTGATGAGCGTCTCCCATCACTGGAGGGTCTACAACGCCACAGACCTGCTCCTAAACTGGATCGGCCCCAAACTCTCCGAGAGGAGAGCCGCGAGACACGCTCTTCACTCCGGGAGTAAAGCTGCGGACGGGATCCGTCACAGAGCCATGCTGCTGGTCTTCTCACACACCGTCTCTGGACAGAGCGAGCAGGACCGAGCCAGTCTCCTGCACACAGCAGAGAAGTCCAAGTTCTTGTTTAACAGCGAAGGAAAGGAGGTGCGGAGAGACAAGCCACACAGGAGCAAGCGGGGCCGCAGGGGTCAGCCGGTGAGGAACCCGCGCAATTATTTACAATAACTTAGAATAATAATTTGAATGCAACAAAATATAATAAATATTTTAAATTATTTGTAATATTTATTTTTATTATTATTATTGTTGCGGTCTAATAATTATTTACATTAAACTCAAATTATTTCGAATAAACTGAATAATCTGACTGCAACAATAAGTGTCAGGGGTCAGCCGGTGAGGAACCCGCAGCGACTCCGGGGTCCAGTTGAGAAGAGCTCCAAGTGCAGGAGGGTCGACATGCATGTGGACTTCAATCAGATCGGATGGGGCTCCTGGATCGTCTTCCCCAAGAAGTACAATGCGTACCGCTGCGAGGGGAGCTGCCCGAACCCGCTGGGAGACGACCAATAAATATTTTTAATAATAATAATATATATATATATATATTTTTTTTTTTACATTCCAAGCCAATTTGTTAAAGTGCAATGCTTCCAGAAATGTTTTAAATATTAAAGAAAAAAAATCTTGTGATTATTTAGTCATCATTGAGTTGAAGTACACAGTACAGGCTGATGTTGAATGGCAGAGCTCTTAAGCACAGTCAGGGCCGCTTAGTAGATAAACCAAAGCAATTAGCAATTTGAATGTAAATGTACAGCAATACACTCCAGTGGACAAGAGCCTCATCCACGAGGATCAAAGAGTGTGTGCTCAGCTGCACAAATCACCTCATTACTGCTCCAACCACGCTTACATGCAGGTGAGGCGCTCGTTGTATTTATGTAGCTTTGTAATTATTTTTAATGTTAAATAATTAATACGGAATTATTTGCATTGCAGACTGCATTCTGTGTCTTGGAACTTCTTAGGGTTGTTATCATTTACTAAAAATAACATAAAATTAATTGAAAATGCATTTTAAGAAAAACTAAATTAAAACTTTTTTTTTATTTTATATTAAATAACTAATATGAATACAATTTTTATATAAAAACTTAACATTTATATTTTTAAAAATGCACCTAAAAAACAAAACAAAACATTTTCATTAATTGAAATAAAACAAATTTGAACTTAAATAAAATATTTTAAAACATTATTTCAGCTAGCTGCCAAGGCAACGTTTCTCATTATCATTTAGTTTAATTTGAAATATTAAAATAACTAAATCTGAAATAAAATGACATAAAATTCCGTTAAAACTAAAAACTTAAACTAAACTTAAAAATTGTTACTTGAAATGTTAACTGAAATAAAATATTTAAAAAACATGAACTTATTTTAACTAACTAAACTAACATTTTGTTTAACTTGAAGAACTAAAATAACTCAATCTTAAACTGAAATAAAACTACATAAAAAATCAGTTACTTCAAATTAAAAAAAAAACGATAGCAGAAATAAAAATTTAA